AAAAAAAAAAGAAAAAAGAAGGCCCCCCCCCCATGTGGGCTTCAGGGAGTGGGTCTAGCTGGGGGTACCACAGACCCATCTATCTCCCAGAGGGGTCCCTTTGCATGAGCTATGAGCCCATGTGGGAACTCCAGGTAAATTCAGTTGTTTTCAAATACTTTCAGAGGTATCTGAGGTCACATGGGCACTATCCCAAGAGATACATCATTTGTTGCTTAGCCCTGGCTGAGACACTGGCAGGGAGATTGTTCTGAAACCTCGCTTAGCCCTGCAAACCACAGAGCCAACACTGTTCAACAGCATCTGTCTTGATATGTTCTTAGAACCTTACGGGGAGGGCAGAGATTAGGGCCACCCCAGCTGTGCTGGGCGACTCCTCTGGGCTGGCAGCTTGGGGACCGAGTGTCAATTCAGTCTGTACCCTGGCCCTGGCCTAGCAGCAAGGGAAGCCATGGAGACCCCAATCTGGGCAGGCTTTGGGGGTTTTTCAGGGTGGGGTGCGGTCCTGACAAGTACAGACTTGGTGACAGGGACAGGTGGTCCACACAGTTTTTCTGCAGAGAGCCAGAGAGTACACGTATCAGCTTTTCCGGCTGGCCTCTGACTACTGTTCCGCTCACTCTCAGCTGGAAACTGTCATGGAGGACAGGGAAATGAGGAGGCCCAAAAAGACAATTTACAGAAACAGGTGGTAGAGGGGCGTGACCCTTGGCCCATAGCTTGTTGACATCTGGACTGAGGTAGTTCCTGAGCTGCATCCTTTCTTCTCCCTCTGTATTTTCTTTCTTTTTTTTTTGGTTTTGTTTTTTTGAGACAGGGTCTCACTACGTAGTTGAGACTGACCTGGGACTCACTATGTAGCCCAGGCTGGTCTCGAACTCACAGCGATCCTCCTGCCTCAGCCTCCCGAGTGCTGGGATTACATTACAGACATGCACCACCACGCCCGCCACTCCCTCTGTATTTTCCAAGGACCCCAGGTTTCCTGACTCAAATCAGCCATCATTGCCCATAATGCATCAGTACGGTAGGTCCATGAACGGCCTGCTCTATTCTGTGTGTATTTTGTAGCAGATAGGATGAAGGGCTCTGAGCCTCCACCCAAACTGGAGATTCAGAATGTTTCCTGAAAACCATACATCAGACTGCCCAAGTATCTGCACCTTTCCTTTTCTATGTCCCTGTGTCCTCACATGCAGAGCTATCCCACGTGTGCGTGCCCCGGTTAGGTTCAGTTTACCTGGTTTGCATTCTGTAAGAAAGATAGGTATTTTGTGTGATCCTTTGGAAGCTTTTCTGTTCTTTTCTGGCCTCAGCGTGGTTCCAGGTGTTCTTCCCATCAGCAAAGGCCCCACTTCCTCATTTTCCCTGGGTGTGATACAATAGGTGGCTGTCCCACCCTTCTTTTTATAGATTTGCTTGTTTGTTTGTTTGTTTTGGTACCAGAGATCCAGTTCAGGACCTTTTGCCTGCCATGCCACTGAGCTAAATCCCTGGGCCCCGACCTTTCTTGTTAGGACCGCAGCCTCTTTTGTCTTGTGTCTGTTTCTGGAAAGAGAACCAAGTCCCTTAATGCATTGGATCAAAAGGCTGGGTGCCAGGAAATGTATTTGCGGTTTAATCCCAGCTTCGGGCACCGAGTTTTGTTTCAAGTGCTTCTGGGATTTGAATGCCGCAGCTGGAGTATGGCTGTGGCAACGATCCCATCATCGCTTCTTCTCTCCCCATCTTCAGCCTCTTTCCCTGAACGGAGGCTGACCTCCTCTTCCTCAGATGTTTCATTTACAAACCCTGAGTGCCAGGCGCTGTCCTGCAAGGTAGGGAGGCCATGCAGGGTCCAGGTGCTAAATTGGCTCAGAACGACACCTGGGGAAAGACAAACTACAGTGAGGCGCTGGACGCTGACCCAGAGCGGCACCGAGAGACCCGACGGACCCTTTGTGAGAAGTGTAGACCCACAGAACACCTCGTCGAAAAGGCAGCGGCCCTGATGGAAGGTGGAATAGGCGGTGTGTAACTGAGGTCCTCCTGACTGAGCCTGAAACCGCAGTCTCAGAAGTGGGTGAGCCTTGTTGGGAGCAGGTTATTTTTGTTTCCACTTGCAGAGGTAGTGTTTGTGGCCCGTGTCCTCGAGGTGAGGAATTGCCCCTTCCCGGCCACGCTGGAGCTAAAAGTAGGTGTGCAGATGGACGGGCAGTGAGACATGGTGGACGGTGACTCATCTTTGCCCCGACAGTCACACCCACACTGTCCCCTGGCAGCAGGGTGAGACACCCTGGCCTTTTCTACCTGTCTCCATGAAGGCCAGGGACGGTGGGCTCGCCTGGGCCTGGGCCGCTGGAGTGGGTTCTAAGTCAGCCCCTCAGGACTCCCAGAAAACCAAGGTGGCCACCCAGAGAGTCCCCATGAAGGTGTCACAGGCACCTTCCCGTCCCATCCCCAGAGCACAGGGGTCTCAGCAGATGCTCCCAGTCACCTAGAGATGGCAGGACATTTGTGCACAAGGCTCTGGGGCAGGCTCAAGTCTCCCTGGTCCCCAGCTTCATGTACTCAGCGACCCCCATGAGGAGCCAGTGTGGTGGGGGAGTAAAAATTCAGGCTGACCCGGTGACCTGGGCAAGATGTCAGTGTGTCTGTTTCCTCCTGAGCTGTGACTCTCTACCTCTACTTGTGCCTAGGTTCCAACTGTCTGTCCCACACCACCATTCTCTCCCCACTCCCCCATATGGGGAGTTAAACTCAGGACCTTGTGCTTGCCAGGCAGGTGAGCACTGAGCTACGTTCCCCAGCCTGCCGCCATCATTCCTGACCAATTGCACAGGAGTAACAGGGGCTACAGGAGGCTAAGCTGGCAGGCTTGGGTGTCCGGTTGGGGCTCACACCCAGCCCTGTAAGCTGCCTCTGTAGGGCTATGAAATGGGGTCAGTGCCACTGGGAGGGCACAGAACCTCCTAAAGCTCCACACAGAGCAAGTGCCTAGTGGCAGGGAGGCCTCGGACATGGGGGCCATGTCTTCTTCCTCCTAAAGCACTATCAGGCCCACCCCACGAGTGTCCCTGGAGCGCTGTGTGTTCTAGAGTGTTCCACTGGTTCTTTGCATCCACCCTCACATTTAGGGGAAAGAGTCCCCATTCCCAGCTCTGTGCTGATTAGAGTCATTTGTCACTTCCTCGGATCCTTGCCTCATGGGTCGTTTCTCCCCAAACTGCAGGGACTGAGACCAGTGGTTTTGAATGTGACCCGGGGTGTGGGCTGCTCTCCTTTCCCACCCAGCCCTGCTTGTGGCCAGGAGGCTCACGCCAGTATCCAGGACCTCAAATACACATGAGGATGAGGAAGTAGGGTTTTTAGTTTTCTGGGGACCCCCTCTGACCTGCAGTTCCTCCAATGAGCAGGAAAGCAACAGTGACATCAGGAGAGGACTCTGAAAAGAGATGGACAGTTTCCGGTCTGCAGCTGGCCCTCTGGAGGACAGAAGGTGATTTGTGTCCCCAGAACAGTCCAGCTAGAGGTAGTGGGCTGCACTGATGGGGTGCAGGGACATGAGTACAGTGCCCCACCCTGGTTCTCCCGTCCCGGGAGCCTAGGAGTGTAGCAGGCTCTGGGATTCCAGCCTTCACACCCTGATTGTGTTGCCTTAGATTTGCAGTAAGTCAAGTCCGCCCCTGGGCTGTGTGCTTTAGGGTCCTATGCATGGGCCATGGCTGGCAAACGATCACTGCCGACCAGGCCTGAAACAAGGGTCCAAGGGTCCAGCCCTTGCATTTTGCTCCTGAAAGTGAGTCAGCGATGAGGAATGAGGGACCGCCCAGGGTCACACAGCCCTCAGCAGCAGTGGAGGAAAGGACCCACGCTGGCCACCTGTGCTTCTGAGCTGTCAGCCGGCCCCTTCCGCAGCCTGTGGGCATCAGGGGGTCGCCGAGGATGGTTGGGCAGTTCCCAAGTGCCCTCTGTGCTGGCTCTGCCTCCTGCCCCCGCCCACTGGGCTCCGAGCTGGGGTTTTCAAGGCTGAGCTTGGCTCCTGTGAGGGCTCTTGGCGGAGAAACTGCAGAGCACAGTTCCCTCCACAAAGCCGCACTGTTCTCAGCAAACCCTCCCAGGAGCGGGAGGCATTTTTTTCAAATGATTCAGCAGCACGTGAATGGGAAGGGCCAAGCCCAAGGCTCTGGCATGAGAGCTCGCGGCCCACAGGGAGGGAGAGGGACTTTGGCAAGGCGTGGGCTGGGGTCCCACCGGGACAGAGGGTAGGGGTAGGATCCTGGGGGCTGCAAAGGCAGCGGGAAGGCTGGGCAAGGAGGCTGAGGCTTTTCTCTGCACAGCTGAATCACTCCCGGGGGAGCCAAAGCAAATGGGCAGGAAATGGAGATGGGAGAGCTGGTCTCCATGGAGACGGGCATCCAGTGGACAGCTGCTCACGTGTGCAACAGAATCTTGAGCAGCCAGGCAGGCCTGGCACATCCCCAGGGGCCAGCTTGTGGGTGGCGTGGCCTAGGGCTGTGTGCCCTGCTGTCCCCTGATCTGCGCCTGGCACCCCCTTCTCCCTCCCTGACCTACCTTCTCCCCCCGCCTCCCAAATCTGCCTGCTTGCACTGTTCTCACTCCAGGCCTAAGTGACATGGCCAAGTCCTGTCTGCCCCTGGGCTGGCCCAGCCCTGCCCCAGAGCTGGGTGCTATTTGGCTCTTCCCCGAAACCCATTCTGCTCCTTTTCCCACTCCTTCCAAGCCCCTGTTGCTGGCTCCTGGGGCTGGAGGAGGTTTGGGGTCCTGTGGGAAGGTCTGATCTCTCAGCTGCTGCAAGGAGGGGAGCAGCCCTGAGCCCCGCCCGCCACCGCAGGGCTGTGTTTAATTACTAAGTGGACGTCCCCTTCTTGGTCTCTTTCCCCTAAAAGGAGCGGACTTGGAGGTCTTTTCCTCTGCTGACCCAAAGGGGCTGGGCATGGAGGGGCCAGGCAGGGCGGGGCAGAGCTCAGTGCTCAGGGGGAGCCCTCTAACTGTGCAGCCGGGGCACTGCGGGGGGGCGGCGAGGCCAGAGGTGGCAAGTCAAGCTGAGCTCACCTTCAGACTCCGGGGCACCAAGCCCACACTGCTGCTTTTCACTTCTGTGACACCTGCTACTGCTCATCCCCTCTGTGTCCTGTGTCCTCCTCAGCTCTCAGGGAGGGCCACAGCCTGGGCACCTGGGGAGCGGGGGGTGTCTACGATCCCCGGAAGCATAGCCCCCTTTCCCAATAACCATCTACCTGTCCCAGCAGCGCTCATAGCCATGTCTGCCCCTCCAGTGGGCAAAGTCGACCTGTGAACACCTTCCAGGGGGAAGGGCTCTCACCGTGCCCCTCACAGCCCAGCAAGGTGGCTCAGTTACACACACCAACTCAGATCGCACAGCCACCTGAGAGCCGTGCCCCCAAAACGTGCCTGGCCCCTGTGTTGCAGCTGTCCTAAGGCAAAGCCATGGGCTGCGGGGCCGGACTCTGTGTCTCGCAGAGGATCTGGAAGTAGGGAAGCCGTAGCCCAGAATCAGGCATCAGGAGTTTATGGGCCCCTTGGGTCTGTCGTCCAAAAAAAGGCAGACCCACTTCCCAGGGTCAACAGCTTTAGTGGTTCAAGCAGCTACGTGGTGATGTCCACCCGAGAGGGACGAGAGACTGGTCCCAAGTGGGTGCCACAGGTTCTAGTTACAGATGGTAATGGGACCTTGCTATGTGTGATCTGAGGGCGTAAATGGCAAGCCACATGGCACCTCCTCGTCTGCAGTTTAGACAAAGTGACGGGAACTTCGCAGTCCCCCTACCAAGTGTACCACCTGTCGATACCCAGCACCTCAAGAAGGCCACAGGAGCCTCACCAGGAGGGGAAGAAGCTGGGTTTCTCTGGGAGAGAGCATTGTTTCTTTTTCAGTTCCTTTGAAATGGTCTACATGGGAACTCTACCCAGGGACAAGGAAATGGGCCCCCTGGCCTTGGATGTTTGCAGGGCTGGCCCCAGGACAGCCACAGCCACTGGTGGCCCGTAGGATCTCTGGCGAGTATGCTGAGACATTGCAGGCCCTCACCCCACACGAGCACCTGTGGGTACCCTGCCCAGGGTACAGCTGGAGCCTGCAGAAGAAGACAGACAGACAGACAGGCTGGGGGCAGTGCCCTCTGGTGACCCAGAGCATGTCCTCCCACCTCATCCACTGCACACACAAGACAGAATATTTCTGAGTCCTGGGGCTTCCCTGTACATTGCCCTTCAGATGTGTGGTTTTGAGGGGCTGGAGGACACGGGTGTGTGGATGTCAGGTCTTAACACCCAGGTTCCCCTGTGCTCCTGGGCCGGCAGAGCGGCCCAAGTGGAGACTGTCCCATGGGATATGCTTACACGAAGGGCGTAGGGCCAGTGCAGCAAGATGTAAAGCGACCTGGACACGCTCCACAGATCCCCGGGGGCACTTGTTTTATTTTCCCAGGAACTTCTATGGGCTTCTGCAGACAGGGGGATCCTGCAGTGTCAGTGTGTGTCTTGAGAACGCAGCGGGCCATGGGTGGGTGATGGCCGAGGGACCGTTGGGAAGAACGGGAGGCGCTGGAGTCCGTTGTGTCTGCTTTGTTTCCAGTGGGCCCTGGGCCACAGCATGTGCCGATGGCACCAGGGCTCTCAGTGACCCATTTATATTCGCAACCCCCTCCACAGACAAAAGCAGAAAGGTCCCCGCCTCTCTCTTCCTGGACGGTTGTGATTCTCAAAGCCTGAGCACGGCCCTGGATTGGTCCAGGATCATCTTCTGTGACCTTGACTTTCTACCCACCTTGTTCTTTTTTGGTTCTCTTTCATCCCGGTTCTGGCTGGGTGCAGTGGGATTGTTTTTGCAGGCTCCTCGAAGGGGGAAGTGACATCATGTGGTGTCCTCGGCCCACAGGAGGGGGGCAGGGCTCTGCGGTTATGTGTGCTTTGAATTTAGTCGATGGCTGTGCATTCCAGTAGCCAGCAACTGGCAGGGAATTCATCAGCCAGTGTATCACCCTCGATCTTAAACCCAGATGTTGAGTCAACAGCAGAGGGGAAAGGAAGAAAAAAGCAAAATGGGAGCCGTGAAGGGGGGCAGGCCACAGTTTCGGGGCACAAAGCAATTAGAACCCAAATCTTTACGGATTTTCCCTCCTGTGCTGCCTCCTGTTCCTTGAGCGGGGGCAGCAGCAGGGCAGCACATTCGGGCGTGGACAGGACGTGGGCTGAGTCCAGCCTGGCGTCTGACTGCAGGCCCGGTAGGTGCCTAGTCAAAGCGATCCGTGCCCTGGTTTTAATTCTCCCCAGATTCTTTGGGTCTCTGTGCTTACCCAGCCTGGTTCTTTAAATGACCTGGAACTCAGAGACTTCCTTCTGGAGAGGCCTCCGTCCCTCCACAGTCCCAGGATCCGCGCTGGAGCTCACAGTGGTGACCATTGCCATGTGCATGACACGTGCTCTGGAGAGCTCTGCCACCTTCCTCTTCTCAAGAGAAGCCAGGCTTCTCTGTTTCCTGTCTATCTGGGCTCTGCCTGGATTGAATGTCCCTCCAAAGCCAGGTCTGTTGCCGAAGCCCTTTGTAGGGAGGAGCTGCACCATGCCTGTCTCCACCTGCGGCTCCTTCAGGCAGCAGCGCAGACCCAGGTGCCTGCACTGAGCAGTCAGCCCAGCCTCCCTCCTCCCTCCTCCCTCTGTGTCGGGGAGGGTGCCGGCGCTCTGGGGGAGGTTCTCACAGAGCTGATACTTCTGTGCCTCTTCCCCCCGCCCCTTATGATACTGAGAGTTGAACCCAGGGCTTCTGCACTGGAGTAACATCCTAGCCCTTTTTAAATTTTGAGACAGAATCTTGCTAATTTGTCCAGGCTGGGCTCGAACTAGCAATCCCTCCTGTCAGTCTTCTAGCGTGCTGTGATTATAGGTGTGCACCACCGCGCCTGACTTCTCCTTTGACTCTCTCGAACCCCTTCTTTCCTTCATCACCTTTCATTTGGTAAAGGAGCCGAGGTCCCTCTCAGAATTCAGAGACTCCAAAGAATGAATCCTGGGTCTCCCGGACGGATGAAAGCAGCCCAGTTCGATGGACATTCTTGCAACATCGGCATCTTCTGTCTCTCCTCTGCTTCCCTGCGAGCATCTGGCAGCCTCTCGTACTTAACTTTCTAGTCTCAACTCACAGCTCTGCCCTCAACCCCTCCACTCAACCAGTCTTTTCTTTCCTGACAATTTTGAAAAGAAAACACAAGGGGGTGAAGAGAGGGCAGTGGTATGGGGAAAAAATGAGAACCAAGACCCGTCGTGTAAAGATACAAGATCCCAGTGATGAATGTAACTGTTCTGTATACCTAAAAAGTACCAATAATCTCAATAAAAAAGAAAACACAGTGATCTGCAGACCACCCCACAGCGGACAAGGTGGCCCAGCCTGGGCCCTGGGAGTCTCTTTGTCCCTCTGTACCTGGGCAGCAGGACTCTGCTTTGCAGATCCATCACCTGCAGGAATGGGAGAAATCGGCCCTGTTCTGTGCTGGCTGAGGTCACACAGCTGGAAAGTAGCTAATGAGGATTCATCCCTGAAACATCTATTTCAAATAAGGACCTAGACTCGCATGGGAGCGCTGTGTGAGAAAACAGTGCTTAGCTGATAATGTGACCTTTTGGTGGTTTCACGGTGAGTTTGGCTTATTTTCTGATTGTATTTGTTGTGCACCGTTATGCATTAAGCATTGTGCAGCGAGGGACCCCTGGAAAGCAGTTCCAGAAGGTTCCCAAAGCAGTCAGAGTTAGGCAGATTGGCTCCACCCGGCCTTCGTCGGTTTATTCCTATCCAGATTACTATGTGAGAAAATTTACAACAGGGGTCATCTGGCCTGCTTACCGTTTGGCATAAGCATGTTTTTGAGCAGCATTGCAGTAAGACACGTAGATTATTTAGGTACGTAGGAAGGGGGACCAGTGACAAACCTCACCTGGCCCTAAGCTTGAGGCTGTCAGGCTCAGCCCTGTTCCATCCGGCAGACATTAATCTTAGTGCTGCTGTTCCTTAGCAGGATCATGGCTTCCTTCTACTGTCAGGACCTCCTGGAGCCCTGGGCAGACGCAGGTACTGGTGCTTGCAGCAGAATGGACGAAAGGTGAAGAATATCCCTAGCGCTGCCAGAGGACAGACTTTCCCCAAAAAAGAATAGGACAGGACTATTCTTGCTTGGTCTTGAAGGATGAAAGAGAAGTTCTCCAGGCAGGGAGAGGGAAGAGGCATTTTGGGCAGAAGAAACCCTTGGGCAAGTTGGGGAAGAGTAGTGGTCGGTGATGGGAGAGCAGCAAGAACAGGTAGGGCCTGTTGGGCAAGGCCAGCCCAGGCAACTGGCTGGCACTGGGTGGCAAAGGGTCTCCTATTTTAGGCAAAAGCCATTGGTAGCCAAGGAAGGTATCTGAGTAGGAAGGAGTGTGATTATAAGAAGAAAACGGGTAGCAGTGGATGCTGGAGTGATGGGGACTCGGGGTACAAAGAGATCTGGGGTGGTCTGCTGGGTGGCTTTCCCCCGATGGGGCTTTCAGGGGGAGGCCTGGCCTGGCCTGGGAAACAGGAACCTGTGGCATAGGCCGGTGTGACTCAGCTCTAACCAAAGAAGAAATGGGGCCCGGGCCCGTGTGGGGCCACACAGTGTGGCGTGGGACTTGGCAGAGGCTTGGATCCAGAACACATTTCTGGGGTCAGAAGGTTGGACACAGAAAGGGCTCCCGTGTGCCAGACCTCCCTGTTCCTGTGGGAGAAGACAGCGGCGGCCAGGAGAGACCTGAGCTCACCGCTCTGTGCTGGGGTGCTCCCTGTGCTGGTGCTGCCTGCTCCAAAACATGCCCAGAGTGAGTGCACTGTGTACTTGGGATGGCAAAGCTTTTAAAGCCATTAAAGTAGGCCGTGCCGCCGGCCGTAGCCTCAAAAGGAAAAGAGGAGGACCCTGCCCTCCTGATGTGAGCTGCTGCCCTCCTTGTCTAGATACCCAGGAGAGAATGGAGTCCTGGTTTAATGGCTTATAGAAAGCCTGTGGGCCATGACCCTTCCGCAGCCCTGGGCTCCAGAACGTTCTGGACCCTCCCGGCCCCCCTCCTCCCACTCATCTTTGCTTGTGGCCCAGGATGCTCTTTCTGCCTCACCTCCTTCCTCAGCATCTGTCCCTTAGCTTTGCTAGCCTTGCCTGCAGCATTTCTTAACCCAATGTGTGCCCTGCGAGTTGTGACGCCCCGACCCGCCTCTGTCCTGCCTCTCGTTAAATCAGCCTGTCTGCCAGCGCCATACAGAGGAGTGTGACGGGAACGTCCCCACCCCTACCCGAAGAGCAGGATGGCAGGCCACGTCGTTGGTTTACCTGCTGTCCCACACACCGACAAATACACTTCAGTGGAAATGAAAAGCCCTAAAGCGTGCAGCAGACAGCTTCTGCGTTCAATCGGTGGCTGTGTCCTGCTGCTGGGGAGCAGCCTGGGCTCACGGGAGGAACTCGGAGCCCCTGTTTCGGGCCCTGGAAATCAAGGGTTATCACTGGAGAGCCAGAGGTGATGGCGAAGGGGCCTTTATGCTCCTCTCCCAGCTTGTGGAGTCAGGGTCATCTGGCCCTCGTTTTATAGCTGGGGTGAAGGGTGGGCTCTTCTTTCCCAGGGGCCCCCAGCCCCAGCACAGCCTGGATGATCTTCTGGGAACTCCCCTCATCTCTGCGTCTCTGTGTTTTGCAGTGATCAGGGTCAAAGCAGTGAGTGAGAAGGAGGTGGACTCCGGGAACGACATCTATGGCAATCCCATCAAGAGGATTCAGTATGAGATCAAGCAGATAAAGGTAATAAGGCCCGGCAGCGTCATGGGGTTGGGCGGATTTTGGCCCAGGCCTGCACCTCCTTAACTCAATCCCACACACTATGTAGCAAAAACTGAGGCTGTCAGACCACAACCAGGTCCCACTCTCCCTGCTTAATCCATAAAGGCCCGGATTGCTGGGAGGAAACCAATATCCTCGATGCCTTCAGTTCTTTCAGAAATGTGTTTATTTTGATGGATGGCCGATCGGTGGTACAGCATCTGGCTGTGTCCCTGAGGTCCAACGTGTCTGGCTGAGCTGTTGGGGGAGGGGGTGCAGCTGTCCCCAGGATGTGGTCTTCGCTTCTGGGAGCCCCACCTGGTGCGAAGAGATGAGAACGAAGGTGCCCCACTGCGCGGTTCCGAGAGGAAGAGGGCTCTGGAGAAGGTGTACTTAGGGGCAGCTTCCTGACCACCGTGATGGGGCTCGTCAGGTAGGACAGCGGCCAAGTCAGAGGGCTGCAGGCCCAGCAGATCGTCTGTGCACATGGGCAGAAAGCCCGGTAAGAAGGAGTGAGCATAGCCTGGATGCTATTGTAGCTGATAATGGCTATCTTGGCCTTCGAGAGAGAAGAAAATACCTGGAATCAAATTCAGGGCCTCATGCCTGCCAGGCGCTGTGCTGCTGAGCTGCATCCCCGGCTGTGTGTTGAATTTTGTTACAAAAAGTAATAAATCTTGGTGTTGGGGAGACCTCTGTGGTACTGGTGATGGAACCCAGGGCCTTTACACTGAGCTACATCCCAGCCCTTTTTTATTTTGTAAACCTTGAGTCACTAGGTTGCTCAGTCTGGGCTCAAACTTGCAATTCTTCTGTCTCGTCATCCAGGAGGGCTGGGATTACAGGCTTGGGCCACCATGCCCAGCCTAGAAAATAAACTTTATCAGAAGGCCAATGGAATGCTTCATCTTTACAGATGTCACTTTAGGAAGGTGACCTAGTCTCTCGGTGCTTAGGTCTTTTTACTTAGGAAACAGGAAAGAAAACCTGCTCTTATGACCTCATCCTGGGCGTTAGACACCAAAGCAGCCCCCGTGGCCCTTGGGCCAATGGTGTCATTTAACACTGCATGTTAGCAGTACCACAGCCTTGTGACCTTTCCTGCTGTGGGCTGGAGTGTAGCTATTGGAAAGCTGCTTTGTCATGACATTAGGAATGGTCCCAGCCCATCTGGGTTTGTTTACTAAAACTCTCAGAGGCTCGGGGTGTGCATTGGCGGTAGAGGCCCTGGGCTGGATCCCCAGCACTGTGAAGAAAAGCCCCTCCCTCACTGGAGCAACAGGTGTGTTCCCGGAGGGCTGCCAGCACGCAGAAAACCAAACCCCTCATCCTCGGGGTTACGTCCCCACTCCAGAGGTGCTTCTCTGTTCTTGTCCCCATCGGGGTGCCGTGGTCCACCGGACATCCCGGCAGTTGGGCTGGGGCCATAGCTCAGTGGGTGCGAGGCCCTGGCTTCAATCCTCAGCCCCAGTAACAAACCGAAAAACCACCCACATCTGGACTTTTAGAAAGACTGTGGTCTTCCACGATGTGCCATCTTCCCGGGGACCCACAGGGTCTTCCCAGAGACTTCAAGGGCGAGTCTGAAAAAGTCCCCTCCAGGCCATTGTGGGGCCACCTGATAGGAGCCACCTTTGCGAGCAGACAGTGGCTGCAGAGAACACAGCCTCCCCCGTGCCCTGCACCTTCCTGCCTCTTCTCTTCTCTGTGGGGTGTACCTGGTGCAGGCAGTGGGGCTCTGCAGCCCAACTCAACCGATGCCATGTCTGTCTCTCCAGATGTTCAAAGGACCCGAGAAGGACATAGAGTTTATCTACACGGCCCCCTCCTCGGCAGTGTGCGGCGTCTCGCTGGACGTCGGCGGGAAGAAGGAGTATCTCATTGCAGGTGCGTGGGAGGGGAGGCTTGGCTGTGGGAAACCCTCAGGGCCCAGGGAACTGATGGCCAGAGCGGTTCCATGGCTTCCCAGTCTCTAGGTGCACGCGCCCCACACTGCCCTCTAGGGGTGGCCTGGCCGAGCTGCAGGGCTGCCCGTGCTCATAACTACCAAAGGAGGGGTGGCTGCTGGCTGCCGGAGTGCAGTGACCCGGGCGGGTCTAGGCCAGGGTCTGTCTCCTGGTGTACCCTGCTGAGTCCTTGCCCAGGCCAAGGCTGTCAGCTGGGGAACCTCTCTGCCAGGCCCTTCCACCTTCCCTTTCCTTCACTGGGTTTTGACTCGAGGTGGCCATGCTCCAAAGGCTTTCCATGCAGAGTCCGTTTCATGCCCTGTGACAGAGGTGCTGCTGTGACCTCATTTTACAGGCGAGGAGAGCTGAGGTGGAGTAGCGTGCCCCGGACCCAGACACCAGCATGGAGTCAGCTTACACCTGCTCCAAAAGGCCACTTGTGACATTTTTAGTTGTACGAGCTGAATGATGTCATGTTGGCAGCTTGAAATTGGCCAGGATGGAGCATTTCCGCCGTATAAATTGGCAAATGCTCCATACTGGAGCGGGTGTGAGACATTCTCGGTGCAGCTCGGCAATGTCACTACCCGGGCAGGGCCACCAGGAGCCCTGCCCCAGCGCTGCCTGTGGGGCTCAGCTCCCGGCCGGCACATCCTGTCACTGCCCCACATCTCAGCCACGGCGCTTGCCTGCGCTGCCCACATGGACTCCCAGCCTGCCCCCAGGCCAGCTCGGCCAGCCCCAGAGGGTCCAGCACGCAGCCAGGACCGAGAGCCAGTGTCTAACCAGAAGTTTCCCTGCGCCGGCACAGAGGCAGAGCCTCCTGCTGGAGTTTCGAGCTGCTGGGCAGCGCACGCTACCCGGGGTGTGCCTGGGGCTGAGGAATGACACCTGCCCTGCAAAGGGGAACCTCCGGATACTGTCTTTACCTCTTGGGGCCTTTGCAGTCAGCCAGCTCTGCTTCTTGTTACAGCTCCTAAGCCCCAGGGCACTGCCCCCTCATCCATGGGATGGGAGGTCCCTGTGAAGGTCCTGGGGAGCAGCCTCAGCTGGGCTGTGCTGCAGCAGCCAGGAGCCCCAACGCAGTGGCTCTGCTGTGTGTGTGGCTGGCGCTCCTGCCCCATCTCATGTTCCCTGAGAGTGAGGAAGCTGCAGGCTATTAGGAGAGGCCGTCCAGTGTGAGGGTGGGCAGAATTTACGGCCAGCGGCCCCAGGATTGTCACCCGTGGTTACTCTGTCATATTTATTTGAGGGATGTGCTAGGGAAACCTTCCTCCTTCTGCCCATTTTAGCAAGAGTGAGCCTTCGGGGCCCAAATGCAGCCAGCCTCGTGAGTCAGTCCGTGCAGAACGCTGAGTCACTTGAGTGAGCCTTCGGGGCCCAAATGCAGCCAGCCTCGTGAGTCAGTCCGTGCAGAACGCTGAGTCCGTGCAGAACGCTCGTGCTGTGTGCAAATGCCACCATTCTGCTTCTTCACATGGACCCTGTGTGTCCTGCACTGGCCCTACACAGGCCCATGGCATTGTCCCCGGTCTCTAGGAAGACGGCGTGATGTCACACAGCGCACATTGTACGGGCGTGCCAACCCCCAAAGCCGTCCGGACTCTAGCTCCTGGAGCGAGAGAGTGAAAGTGTCTGAAGGGACAGCCGCTTGATAACCATGTGCCTGTCATCTGGGGCTATTTCACGTCTCCTACTGGAACCAAGCAAAATCACATAAAGTGCGTTTCAGCCTCTCCGTCACCTGTGAGACATAATATTGGGAAAAGGCCTTGCCTCTAAATGTATCGCACGTGGGTTTTTAAATTGCAGTGTGTGTGTGTGTGTGTGTGTGTGTGTGTGTGACATAAAATTTACTGTCATACCCGTTTCTGTGGATAGAAGATTAAGTACATTCACCGCTTTGTATAACTGTCACCGTCCATTTCTAGAGCTTTTTCATCCTCCCAAACTGAAACTGTCCCCACTTAACACTACCCCCGACTCTTCCCTTCCCTGTGGCTGCTGTCACCACAGGTCTATCTTCGGTCTCTGTGAAATTGCCTATTCCAGGGATCTCCTGCAAGTGAAGTCTGCACCCTTTTGTGCATGGCTTATTTTACTAAGCATGATGTCCTCAAGGTCATCCATCTTGTACTCTGCGTTGGACCATCCTTTCCTTTTTATGTGCATGCATTTTTAAGTTTTAAAAAAATGGGAACCCCCCCCATGGAATTCTAGGCCTGATTTCATACTGTTAACAATTTCAGCTGGGCGTGGTAGCACACGCCTGTAATCCCAGCACTCGGGAGGCTGAGGCAGGAGGATCACTTTGAGTTCCAGACCAGCCTGGGCTACATAGTGAGTTGCAGGTCAGTCTCAACTACATAGTGAGACCCTGTCTCAAAAAACAAAAAACAAACAAACAAACAAAAAAACTCACTCTCCAACTACTTAGTATCTCCAAAGAGCACTCTGAGGTCCCCACCATGACGCATAATGAATGGTGCCAAGCGGTAACCTGTGTGTGTCTGGACCTGTTGGTCCTCCCGTGCCGGCCTCTGAGGTTGCTGTGAGGACAAAAGTGTACCTCACAGAGGGCCGGGCTTAACCTTGGTCCGGATTCACCTGAGGGCAGCTAGTAGTTTTGTGCCTTAAATGAGAGGTAGCAGTGACTCCGAGAGACAAAGAGCCGGTCCACAGCTGCCCCTGGGGCCTGAGGAGAGCTGGGTCAGCAGGACAGCAGCCCAGGGAGGAAGCTTGGTCTGGGGAAGGGTCCCGAGGGACTCAGACGAGCATGTGCCTAAGACGCTGGCAGGGTCTCTCTCCCTCGGTGACCATTCCTGAGACTCGGCAGTGACGCTTCTGTCCATGGGGCTCCCTGCTCCATCCTCCTTGGGGGCACAGTGGCAGGGCCCCCATCACCCCAGGAGCTTCTGATCCCACTTTCTCCCAGGCTGGGTCAGGTGACTCCGTGTTGTCTCTGGCCTTTCCTTCCTGAGGCGCAGACCCTACTTCTGTTCTGCGGCTTTGGGTGAGTTGGCCGGGCCAGCAGCGATCACGGGATGTGGTGAGCCACTCTGCCAGCCAGCGCCCACCTCCCCTGGGCTGGTGACTCAGCTTCACATGTTGAGTTGGGCATGAGACCGTGCTTGGGAAGTCTTATAGCAGCGGCCCTGTAATTTTCTTCTATGGTCCTCTTCTCCAAAAGGAAAAGTAAACATACAACCCTTAGTTACACATTTTAATTCATTCCTGTTTTTCTGTATCCAAGACTCATGCTTCGCTTTTTTCCAAGACAGATATAAGTAGAATGTTGCGACAAATCTTCATGTCATGTAAGCCTAACCAAGTCTTAACTATCCTGATGGGGATCTCTCATGTCTGTTTTTGTTGTTGTTGTTGTTGTTGTTTTTAAGACAAGGTCTTGCTTTGTAGTTCCGTCTGGCCCTGAATTCACTATGTAGTCCAGGCTGGCCTCGAACTTGTGGCAACCCTCCTGCCTTAGCCTCCCAAGTGCTAGGATTACAGGTGTACGCCACCACACTTGGTTATGGGGGTCTTCTTTTAACATTCAGGGATGCTACACCATTCATCTGTGACATCAGAAGTTCCTGCTAGCTCGAAATGATACAGTTTGTGTCTTTGCCAACCTTCTGTGGAAGCTTACATTGGTGTTAAAAGACCAAAAAGAGTGATAGTAGAAAAAGACAGAATAGGAAGAAAATCACTAGAACAATCTACATCGCCTGTAAATTTTATTAAGCAATTACTATGTGCAAGGAACTGTGGCTACAAAAAGAGAGCAGCCAAACCCTTACCCTTTGTGCTTGCCACTTGGTTCAGGAAGCAAAATGCATAAGAAAGGCTAACGACAATTGACTGGGATGTTAATGCTAGGCACGGGGTGCTGTAGAAATCAACATGGCATTTTGGATGACGGAGCCAGAATAGAAACTCCGCCTGTGAACCACAGTGATGACCAGGCCGGGCTGCAGTCTACTGGTACATGCGGTAAATGCCAGAAGAAACCGGTGGTGGGAATGCATTGCCACTCGCTACTTTGCTCTTTTCCCCTCTACTCTGAACGCCACAGAAAATGGCTACAAGTTGCGGGAAGGTCCAGCATCTATGACTGAAGTGTTTAAGGTCAAACGAACACTTATCTTTTAGAATTTAAAGTCCAGAATAAATGCTGCTCTGGGGGATGGTTGAGCTCCCAAGCCTAGAGGAGAGGAGCAGCTAACACCGGGGCGGGAGAATGCAAACCCAGGGGGTCTGTGCCGCGGAAACAGCGTGGTGGACACCCCCCAAAAGCCCTGGCCAGCCCGTCTGGGCTCGCCACAGCAGCTGGTCCCAAACCAGCCGCGTTGCCCCTCCAGAGAGCTACGTTCCTACTAGTGGGCTGTCGGTGGCTGGCGCAGTGTCTGAGATCTTTAAGCGGGCGTAGTGGCGCCCGCGTACGGCCAGGGCCCCCGGTGCCTCCCTGGGACCCTCCCGGGCACTGATCCCTCATTCCCGGGCCTGTGTTTCTCTTCACAAGGTGCCAGGGTAGCAGGAGGGATGAGTTTTTAAGTCACCGCCTTGGCCGCTCTTACCTTCTGTCACTGGCTGTCACATGCGTGTTCGTCCTTTTCTCCTGCCGGCTCATGCTGAGGCTGTCACCAGCGTGATGTCTTCACCACCGTGGAAGGAAGCCGACTCTCCAGCCTAGGGCACACTATGGGGACAGCGCCCCCTTGTGCCCAGCACAGGGAATGCAGAACCGATTACGGACCAAAAATCCCACACGTGGACTAGTCATACTCGTAAAATGCACGATTGCAGGGTCAACATCAAATGGGAGGAATGCCCGTGACTAAATGTTATTTGCTGAAAAAATAGGAAACAGAATGATCTATGCATCACATGGTCTTTTGTGTGTGAACTTGCTTATGAGAGTATAGGTAGCAAAATCAAGGGAGTAGTTGACAAAAATAAGGAAGCTTTTAAAAACTGTTTCTTGCATTTTCTCTCGCTCTCTCCTTTTTTTTTTTTTTCAGTACTGGGAATTGAACCCAGGGCCTTCTCACTTAGCTGTATTCCTGCTTTTGTAATTTTACTTTTTTGAGACAAGAGTCTTGCTAAACTGCCTAGCCTTGAGCTTGAACTTGCAGTCGTTCTGCTCAGCTTACCAGAGTGCGGGGATCACAGGTGTGCACCACATTTATTTCAAAACTCACGGTACAGCGATCCATACTATTGTCAGAACTAAGTCTCGGCACCCCCGAGTCCTGTGTAGACGTCAGAAGTGGGTGGAAGAAGAGAACCCAGTACTCTGGCTGAGCTTGGTGAACCCTGTCTCTCCACAGGAAAGGCCGAGGGGGATGGCAAGATGCACATCACCCTGTGCGATTTCATCGTGCCCTGGGACACCCTGAGCACCACCCAGAAGAAGAGCCTGAACCACAGGTACCAGATGGGCTGTGAGTGCAAGGTGAGCGCACCCATCCCCGCAGGCTCAGGAGGGCATGTGGGGTTCAGGTCCCTGGCTTCCAGGACCCTCGAGTCTCCAAGATCCTCACTGAGGACTGGACTCTTCAGGAGGGAGGCTCCCTGGCTGGGGACAGCTTTCGGCCCCTGGTCACATCTCCTGCAAAGGGTCTCTGGAGAGTAACGGATCATTGGGGCAAACACACCGATCCAGCTGTGTGGCTGGCAGCTTAGCAAGAGCAGCCTTCTCCAGAAGGGACCTCTGTGGGAAGGCGTGCACCCTTCGTGTGCCTAGTGAGAGATCGCCCCGGGGGATACGTGTTTCCCAGCGCCCCAGACATTTACGCGCGTGGGGCTCCCTGACTGTGGGTGTGTGTTGAGCAGGCTGGAAATGCCTGCCTCCCTTCTCAGAATGCGCCCGGAGGTGCTGAACAGCTGTGGCAATGCAGACACTCAGATGCAGCTGAGGAGGGCAGGGTCTCACCCACAGCTCCCGGGCTCGGATTCTGTCTTCTCTGACACCTTGACGTTATCTCCAAGGCAGCAAGCATTGCTGGACACCCAGCACCCCTCTGTGTTGTCAGGAGTGACCAGGAATTTCTAGCCAAGCTCTATCCATGCCTGCCAGAGCTGTGTAAGGGGCCTCCTCCCACTGCAGCTGATGCTGCGCTTCCTGTGCTCATGCAGGGTGTGGAATCCAAGCTCACAGTCCATGGGTGCCGGGCACAAGTCTTCTGTCGCCTAGTGTGGCATCCGAAACAAGCTCTCCTTTGGTTAATGCTGCAAAAGTAGTCACCCTCTTGGAGCCACAAGTTCCTTTGCCAAAACTCTAGTCGCCCACAACCTCAGACCTTGTGCTTGAGAGCAGGCTCCAGGCCTCGTTATTCAGCTCAGATCTGCTTCTGGGAAATGTCCAATCTGTTGTCATTCTTGTGTGTGTGCGTGTGTGTGTACGAAGTACTAGGGAGTGAACCTGGAGCCTTCATGCTGAGCTTTATCTCTAGGTCTTTTTAAAATTTTTAGTTTCGACAGTGTCTCACTAAGTCGCTGAATTGCCCCGGCTGGGCTAAAACTTGTGAGCTGCTTGCCTCAGCCTCCCCGAGTGCTAGAATTACAAGCATGCACAACCAAGCTTGACTCTGACATCGTTCCTCTTGTTGTCCTTGTACCTCCAGAAAGGTGGACTAAAATCAGACCATCTTCTGGTTAGAGAAGGTAGATCAGGTGGCCCACAGGTGGATCAGGGGCCGCACAGGTGGAGGGGTGCACCAGTGGGCAGGTGCGCAGGCCTTGCCTGGCCCGGGCTCCCCTTGGGCACCGCCTGTTGCTCCATGGAAAGGGTGAGGTGAGACCGCTTTCCTGAATGTTTCGTTGGGCGCAGAGCTGGGCCCTGGAGATGGCCCCTGAGCGGCCTGGCCCCCGTCCATTCCTCAGCCCTGGGCTGAATCCGCCTATTTGTCCCCAGATCACGCGCTGCCCCATGATCCCGTGCTACATCTCCTCCCCGGATGAGTGCCTCTGGATGGACTGGGTCACAGAGAAAAGTATCAATGGGCACCAGGCCAAGTTCTTCGCCTGCATCAAGAGAAGCGACGGCTCCTGCGCGTGGTACCGTGGGGCGGCGCCCCCCAAGCAGGAGTTTCTTGACATTGAGGACCCCTAAGAGGCTGCCGGCACCCCTGTGGCCAATTGAGAAGCCTCCAAGGGTTTAGACTGGTCCAGCTCTGACATCCCTTCCTGGAAACAGCATGAATAAAACCGTCACCCAAATGGGTCACATCAGTGTGATTCTGCCCCTCCCCACTGTCCTTCTGAACGTGGTTGTGGGCTGGAGGGAGGGGTGGGCCCAGATCCCCCTGTACCACTCCCTCCACCAGCCTGGGCACTGTGTCTCAGTCTTCAGTCCTGGTGTGGGTAGGGCTGGGACACTCAGACTTCCCGCCCAGGCCTCCTTGGCACCATCACAGGGGCCAGGCAGGCAGCATTTAGGGATCGCCGTGGCCTGGCTGGGGCAGAGCCTAGAAACGTGCATTTTGCAGAAACTCTTGAGGGTCGTTGTAAGACTATGTAGCAGGCCTACCAGGTCCTTTTCATCCTGAGAGGGCCACGTCCCTCATTTTCTGCAGCAGCCACCTCTCTGACCTAGGGTGGCAGTCCCTGCTCCTTGCAAGTGCCCCTCATCTCCCCTGGGCCCACCACGTACTCCCAGCACCTGTGCCTCCCCCAGGTCCAGGAGCAGCCCCAGAAACAGTGGTTCATTCTTGGAGAAGCCCCACTCAGTCATGAATCTGCACAATTCCAGTGGCGCCTCGCTCGGGGCCCACAGAGATGTGCAGCAGGAGACCCTGGCTGAGCCACATTTTTACTTCAGCCAAGTCTCCCGGCCCCCACCCCACAGACCCCAGCCCCGTGTGGGGATCTGTGCGGTCCCCTGCAGGGCAGGTATCCGGTAGGGCGGTTGCTTGGCTGCCCTCGTAATTCACCCCTAAGCTTCTCTGGTTGCTCCTGCCTCCTTCCCGCCTGGCACTGGGGAGCTGTGATCCAGCCACAAAGCTTTGCCTCCCCCAGCCTGGCACATGGCTTGGCTTGCCGCGTCCTCTGTTTGCACACACTGAGAATGCAAATGCTGGTTCCGCAGGCTTAGCAAAATCTGCTGCAAGACCGATGGTCACTATTCTGCTGCGGATTTCAGCAGGTGACATTAGCTAAGTGTACTAAGCCCCGCCCCAGGAGGCAGGCAGCTTGCGTGGCACTCAGTTCTTTCTGGGCCTCCAGGATGCTGTGGCCTGTTTTAAGAGACATCTCATTTTTCTAAAGATGAACTCTTAGATAATGTGTGACCCCTGAGTCGCAGATGTGCCGAGATCTGCTTCTGTTTGCTATGTCACACAGATTACCCACTGCCAGACACTTCGTGGGGAGCTGGGGAACCCACCTGTCCCAAGAAAATGGCTTTCTGGTGCCAGCACCATGGGAGTTCACACAGGCAGAACTTTCTCAGTGACAGCACAGAGCCTCACTTCTTTTCCTACCTGTGTTGTAAAGATAAACTTCTCTGCGGACACGCACACACACACATGCATGCACACATGCAAACACATTCATGTGTGCACACACAGTGCAACAAATCTGGCAGCCCGGGAGTCGCCCCTCTGCAACATGCTTCCCAAGTCACCCTCCTCTAAGCCTGTGCTTTTCTGCAGCGGCCCCCAAACCCCTGAAGACTCCTGACCCCCGAGTGGCACGCAGCCCCTCTGCCCACTGGGACCTGGTCAGCACAGAACTCGATGACTTCCCTTTCTAGGACAGACTGGGAGAACATCTAGGAATCAGCCCCTGCCCCCAGGGCGTTTTCATGCTGTACAATGACACACAGTTGGTGAGATGTCATAATGGACCAGTCCACATGATTGCAGTATATACAACACCACCAGACCCCCCACCCAATCAATATAACACCCCGCCCTGTTTGCTTCCTGTATGGTGATACCGTGTGTAACATTTGCTCCTGTTTCTGCTGACTTCTGAAATGTTTGGGTTTGTTTCTGACATCCGCTGTGATCATTCCTGTGCTGTGATTTTTTTTAGTGCCCTTGGAAGGTGTTAGACTTGCACTTTTGAGACCCGGTTACCGCATCACGGAAACATTTGACCCTGAGTGGAAGGCGTGGTGTGGTAGCAGGCCCGTGACAGTGGAACCCTTCAAATCTTTTCTTTCGTTCCTTGAGTATCTTTGCTTTCTCTGCCTCCCACCTTTTGCTCTTGGGTTCCAATTATTACTAAGGAGAGGACCTCGGAGTGGGTTGGTTCTAAGAGATGGCCTTTATATTCGATCCGCGCACACTGGCTTTCTAGCCACACTGAGCAGCAGAAGAAAACAAGGTAGATCAAAAGGAAGTGCCCGGTGGCAGCCGAGTGATGGAGCCACTCAAATCCCTTCACAGTAAATAATTGCAATATATATATAGTTTAAGAAGGATCTCCATTTGGCCTTGTTTAATTTATATGTTATATCCTGAGCACGGCTCTTTTCTCCCTCTACTCTTCTCATCATGCAAGCAACTCAAAGTATTTAAAATGAAGTTTACATTGTAGTTGTTTTAAAATCTTTGCTTGATAAGTATTAAGAAATATTGGACTTTTCTGCCATAATTTAAAGCTTTGTTGATTTTTGTCTGTTTTTGTTTGGATTTTTTTGTTGTTGTTGTGGGGGTAGCAATGTGTTCATGCTGGAATATGAAGTCTGAGACCCCCACCCCCTGTGCTGGGAACACATGAGAATTGTTGAAAATCAACAAGCAGACTGCGCATGTCTCTGATGCTTTGTATCATTTTTGAGTGATTGCTCCATCAATGGACAATAAACAATATTATCAAAGAGAAGCCTGGCTCTGTCTGTGTGGCTGTCTCCAGCGTTCAGAACTGCCGCTTTCTAGCTAGAGAGTGAAGACCCAAACACCTGCATAGGAGTCTGTCCCATCTAGGGGAGGGGGCTCCCCTGTGTTCAAGGGCAAAATGCCTGAGTGCTTCAAGAGGGTACTGAGGGCTTGGCTGTGACAGGGCAAACGGAATGAACATGGTTTTCTTTTCTTTTTCGGTACTGAGGATTGAACCCAGGGCCTTCATAATGGCCAATCCCCAGACATTTTTTTTTTTTTAATTTTTGAAATGGTCTTGTTAAGTAGTCCAGGCTGAGTTTGAACTTGCAGTCCTCCTGCCTCAGCCTCCTGGAGTGCTGAAATTACAGGCATGTACTACTGTAACCGCTGGGAACATGATTTTCTTTTTCTTTCTTTCTTTATTTTTTTTCCTGGTACCAGGGATCCAACCTGAGGATGTTGTGCTTGCCAGGCAGGTGGGTGCAGCTGAGCTACATCCCTGGCACGAACATGGTTTTCTTAAGTGGGCAAAGAGCCAGGAGGATACAAGTGTCCCCTTCATTCATTCAGCACATACAAACTTAGAGCCAGAGCCCCGTGAGCCTCCCACTTCCTCTTGTGTCCACACCCACCTGCTTGGGGCTATTTGGCAAGAAAAGTCCCAGTTTCATCTGTAAATATCTCAGCACCTCTGTCTGAAAACTAAGAACAGTTTTGAAAACATTCTAGGAATGCCTTTATTACATTTTAAAAGCGTCCTTAGAGTTCATTAATGTTGTCAGATATCTAGTCAGTATTCTGACATCCTTGGTTTATATCCAAATATAATCCGTCAGTTGCAGTTGGGCTGTGCCATGGTGTGGATATGATCTTTCCTGCAGGGCCCTCAGTGTGCTGCGGTTAATAGGTGGGGGGACCTTAAAGAGGTGGGGCCTGTGCAGCCATTGCTGGCTTCTGAGCTTTCTGGCTTCCTGACTGGTCATGTGATCTCTCCTCAAGCACACACCCACCATGATGCCTTCCACCATGATAGGATGCAGCCCAGCGGGCCCTCACCAGAGGCCAGATCGGTGGAGCTGCCTGACTTGGGCTTTCAGCCTCCCAAACTGTGAGCTAAATGAGCCCTTTTTTTAAATAAGTTACCTACCCCAGATATTTTCTTACAGCATCAGGAAATGGGTAGATATTGTTGATATGACCCTCAACTCTCTTTCATTACGGGTTTCTCCCCACCCCCATCCCAGTCTGTCTCATGCTCGGAAGGATGGTCATGTCGTGTCTTAAATTCTAACCAAATGTTTCATATATATCAACCCAGCGTATGAAAAAATATAATTTTCATTAGAATTTGAATAGTTGCCCACCACCCTCTGGCCTACATGCAAAATTGGGGATAGCTGGGAGAATTGTTTTCCATTTTGCATAGCCACTACCTGAAGAGCCAGAACAAACTTTCCAAAGCGGTAAAGAGCGGAACCAAGTTTGTACCGACATCTGTGCCCCGCGACATTAAATTCTTCCATTTATCTTTGTCCATGGCAGAAACATGTGGCTTGGGGTCTCTCCTTATGGTGAAATTTTGCGGGGAGGCCAGCAGCACGCTGTGATTGTAATGCAAAGGCTGTCAGAGGCTCGCAAATGGCTGTCTCTGGCGTTTGTGGCCCATCTCCGCCTGCCAGCCACATTTCTGCCCTGGCAACCTGCGCGGCAGCTAACTGCTGTGCACGCCACTCGTGTGTGTATTCAGGTCAAATAGGACATTGAAAAAAAAAAAGAAACACAATTTCTCATTACGAAAACTTTCAAACATACACAGAAATGCAGAGAACGGTAAAAGAAGCTCCATGGGTCTGATTCAGTTTCAACGATTATCCAAATTTTGTTGCTCTTTGCAAGCAATTCTGAGTCAGTGGGTGGATCCACGTGGGGGTGGCCAGACTGTCAGGGGTCCCAGCAGACCCCCCCGTTCTCCAGACCTGCAGACACAGGTGGGTTCAAATTGGAAATGCAGCGGCAAACGTTTCAGGGTCCAACTGGCAGGGACATGGGGCCATTCCCGTTCCTTTCCATGCCCCCCCCCGAGAGACTGAGCCCCTAAACTCACACTGGCCAAATCGAATCATCCCAACAACAGCTACTTTTCAGTCTACACTGGGACTGCTGCTGAGCGTGTCACACGCTTTGTCACAATTAATGCATGCAGACTAGACAGCCAGGCCTCTACCTCCCCCATTGGACTGATGAGGAAACTGAGGCCAGCAAGGTAGTTGCTGGTCCCCCAGCTGAGCAGCACTGGCTTTCAGGAAGCGAGGAGGCAAAGAGCAGCTGCAGGCACACAGCTCTGTGGCTTGGGAGTGACACCCATCGCCCCCTCCCATCTGCTCCCGGAGGGCTGTCAGGAGGTGCCACAGCGGTGAGAAAGGTAATTCTGGCCACCAGCCACTTCCCAAGCCCAGAGGAGGAACATGAGGTTTGCGCCGCAAAACCCAGCCTGTTGTTTCTGAGCTGCTCCGCTGATTCACCCAGCCCAGTGCACAATCCAGTAGTTGGAACTCTATTACATTATTCATTTAAAAACAAAACAAAATTTTTAAAAAATCTCTAATGCCATACTTAATATAAAATTTGCCATTTTAATCGTTTTTATTATATAATTCTGCGGCATTTGTTACAGTTACAGCATTTTAACAATTGGCACCACTGCCTCCAAACTTGTTCACCCCCACAAATAAAACCCCAGAAACTCTAAGACCGTTAAACACAGCTCCTGATGTCCCCTCCTTCTGGTCCCTGGTGACTGGCGATCTATCTTCGGCCCTCTAGGTTTGCTATTCTAGATGGCTCACTAAGCGGGGCCGTGCAGTAGGTGGTCTCTTCTGTTAAGCTTACTTCACTCAGCAGCCCGTGCTCAAGGTTGGTGTTGCACCGCAGTGTGTGTCCTGCCCGTGTCGTAGCATGCGTTTGTCCTCGCACCCAACGGTGGGCACCTGTGTTTTCTCCACTATGTGCTACGATACTTTACGCAATATTTCTATGGACACGGGTGGGAATGTTTGCTTCCCGTCAGCCACATCTATGCTAGTCTTTTCTTTAGCATCTTGAGGAACCTCTGTGTTTCCACAGTGGCGGTCGACGTTACATTCCCACCAGCCTTGTGGAAGGAGCTGTGTGTTTTCAAGTTACCCTTTCTCCTCCTCTCTGAAAGGGGGGTTCCCAGACCCCCTTGCTAGGCCAGATGACAATTCACAATACTCGGGGAACTTCTAGTGTGTAAATTCAGTTAGGAGGTCTCGGGCCTGGAGGTTATGTTAAGATAAACCCAAATCACACTGGAAGTCATCAAGTACGAGCCCTCTACGCGGTTGGGGGGTGGTTCTGGAGAAACCCGTGGAGCAAGACAACCCACAGAGACAAAGTTGCCTCACCTGCTTGGCACCATGCACAGGCCCAGCCTTGGCTTCCATACGGTCGGTCTGGCTTCCTGCCCCGTGCTCTGTGGTCAGCGCCCCTTCCAATGGCCTCCTCTCCAGAAGCACTCCTGCCTCGAGTCCTCTGCCCACGCTGGTCCTCCCTCCCCTCGGAACTCTTCCTCCTTCTCCCCGCAGCCAGCTCCCAGTCTCACCAGCTTCAGACAGGTCCCAGACCCCCAGGGTCATCACTTAATTATGCAGATGTGATTCTCCCATCATCCCCTGCTTGCTGTTAATAGTGCAAGGAGCAGAATGACCAAGATATACCACTGCTTGGTGCCATAGGGTCGTATGAAGGAGCGTCACCCCAGGAGGCCAATGAGGACACCACGCACCGGAGCCTTGGATTTCTGGGTATGGGAATGGGCTCCTCAGCTGTGTCGGGGGCCACTTTCTACAGCACCTTCCGGTCCTACCTGGGAGGAAGGTGTAGGGGGAACTGGGGAAGGTGCAGATCAGGGCAAAGAGCCCTGAGGTGATAGGCCCTGGCAGGAGGCGGCGGAGCAGTGGGAAGGTCTGTAGGAGTCTGAGAGTGGGTGAGGAGCTCTGAGTGTGAGCGTGGTGTGGGAGTGCGTGCAGCTTGGTGTTTGACAGAAAATGAGTGTGTGACGAGTATGCGTAGGAACATGGCGCGGATGTGAGTGTGGTATGAACGTGTGTGTGAGAGGGAGTGTGTGTGCACAGCCGTGCGTGCCTGTTAGGGAGATCCCTGGTACACTCACACGATCCATGCAGGGGAGGGAGCCCCCCAGTGACTGAGGTTGGCATCTCCAACTGTTGCAGGGTTCCAAGAGACAGGAAAGGCCAATGGGAATCAGGAGGGTTTATTTCAGGTTTGAGGTGAACACCGGCTTAACGGACTCTTGTCCAGAGGGAGAGTGATGAACAAAGAAAAGTTCCAGTTTTTCTACATTTAATCAAAGGGGGATGGTCTTTCTAGTGGCGTAGCAAGTGAGTTTAACGGAACAGGACGAGGGCAGACAGTAATCTAGCCTTGTAAGAAGACTGTGTCTTATGAATCATATGAGAACAGGGTGTCATAAATTTTGCTTACAGGACAGAGTTGTCAATTTTACCTGCTACAGCTACAAGGGGAGGGGGCAGGGTGATCTGAGGGCAGTAAATGCCAAAGCTGGGAAGAACTCGTTTTTCTTTAAGTCCTGCTTCACAACCATTGGTGGGAGAGGAGTACTGTATTCAATAAATACAGATTATGATGACAAAATTACAAACTATGTCCTGCCACTCTCAAAGCATCTCAGCCAGCAAGCAGTCCCTGTGTGCCGGCCCTATGACTGTGCCTTTTCACGTGGCGCCCCCTCCTGGCCACTGCCTGCCCATGCCCTGCCATCCTAGCAGACTGAGAAACACCGCCACTTAGAAAGGATACTTCCCTCCGTTTCTTTTGAGATTAAAAACAGAATGGAAAGGTGAGAAAGCGGCCAAGCAGCTGAGCGAGGTCTTTATGTTTCCCCCAAACTCAATGCCTTCATACTGAGCTGTATCCCCGTTCCTTTTTTTAAAATTTTGAGGCAGGTCTTGCTAAGTCCCTAAATTGCCCCGACTGGGCTTGAATTTAAGATCCTCCCGTCGCAGCACCCCAGAGTGCTGGGATTACAGGCGTGTGCTAGCTACTGTTAGCACCACTATGTGACAGCAGTGTAAGGACGTCCTCAGTCTTCCCCAGTCAGAGAGGTTGCTACAGCCTGCATCTTTTCACCTTAGCCAGGCAGCTGCACAATGCAGATGGGCAGATCTCGCTTGAGCCCTGCCGGCTGCATGGATGGGACACACCCGAAGGATGCAAAATGTGGTCTGGACTGCACAGTGAGGGGCCCCGGAAGCCCGCCCTTCTATGTAGGGCAAGCTCTCCTCACACTCTTCATGAGTAAACCAGTGACTGTTGGCAGGGTGTGCAGCTATCCCATTAGATGTGCTGCCCGCCCCTCCCCTGGAAACCTTCCCCGACAAGGTGCTGGCAACAGTGTGCGGTGGCCCTCACTTCAGTTCTCGCCCAGCCCGCCTCCCTCCGACTCACTGTCCCATTGCTGTCTGGCCTGTATTCATTTCCTGTCGTTGTCAGACAGATGGCCACAAACCGGGTGGCATAGAAATGACAGAGACAGGCTGGGTATGGTGGCACGTGCCCGTAACCCCAGCATTCGGGAGGTTGAGGCAGGAGGATCACGAGTTGGAGGTTAGCCGAGGCTATATACTGAAAGCCCACCTCAAAAAGATAGAAAACAAACGAAAGGTGTCATCAGGTCGTGCCCCCTCTGAAGATTCTAGGGAAAGGTCTTTCTCCTTGCATCTTCCTGCTTTTGGTGGCCTTGGCCATTCCTTGGCTTGTGGCAGATTCCAATCCTTGCCTCTGCCTTGGCATGGCTTCTACACTTGGGGTCCTCTCCTCTTCTGATAATACCAGTGGTTATATTTAGGGCACACCTGACTCCAATATGACCTCATCTTTATTTGATGATGCTTCTGGCCATGGCCTCCCTGCCTCTATGCAGCTCACACTGGCATTCCAGGACATGGCAAGAAGAAATCAAATCTGCCCACTGTGTTGGGCAGTGAGTGGTCAGGGTGACAGCAAAAACACGCCATACTAGGACTTAAAATGCAGGACCTTGAATACTCTTGAAAAGTTACTATAGTCTGGCCCCAGAGACAATCACAGATGGCCAAGTCCTTGGTTTTCCAAGCAGGACCAATCAATACTATGTTACAAAGTGTAACCAGGGAAACCATGGACCAAAGGAACCTGACCAAACCAAACCCAGCTGAACAGACAATATCCAAAAGAACACAGTGAATGCCATTTTGGGCCGAGTTTGAGGGAAGGACGTGGTGAGTGAGAGGAAAGGCAAGGCATGACAGGAAGTGAGAACAGGAACGGGCTCTGCATGGTTACTGCAGACCCAGCAAGAGCAGACCATGGAAAGCCAAGCTCCTGGCTGGAGGTTAAACAAGAGATTATTAATTTACCACTGGAAATGTGGCCTAGGTCTCTCCATGAATTGGTACCTCAACTCCCAAGGCGGGAGCCAGCCATTGGGTGACAGTATTACCACTCTGATAGTGTACCATTTTCTTGAGATGGCTTCTAATGCGATTAATTTTGGTTACAGTTTTCTTTTCTTGCTGTTCGTCTTCACTGTTTCTCCAGTTTTCTCTCTTAGGGTTAGAGATTTTTCAATTGTCTCATCTCAAGCATTTCATTTCCCATTTGCTTCTCTTCCAAAAACATTTACTGCGGTGTTCCAGACTGTGGGACATAGAGACGAATGAGACAGTGTCCTGGCTCGTTGGAGTCATCATGGGAAGAGAGGCGAAGACCAAAGAACAATCCCAAATAACAGCGGAGAGAATCCAGGAAGACTTCCCAGAGGAAGTGGTGCCCGGACCAAGGGTTAAAGGGCACACACGAAAGGGAATTCTGGGCCAACGACCAGCTTGAGCCTGAAGCGGAAATAGCCCGACTGGAGTGGGGATTTGGATTGGGCCCTGCGGAAGGTTCCAGAATGAAAGTGGCTGGGACCGAGGCAAATTAGAGAAGTAGGGCCAGGCCCCAGAGACTGTTAGAATCTATGCTATGGAGCTCGGCGTCCTGGTCAGCATCAGAAGCCAGAGAAGGGTTTCAATGAGATGAGCGATGTGATCAGGTTGGGCCTTTTCTGAGTCTGACTTTTTTCCTTTTGTACCAGGGATCAAACTCTGGACCTTGTGCTTGCGAGGCAGGTGGTGGCACCACTGAGCTAAATCCCCGGCCCTGGGTTTGGCTTTTTAATATGCTAGTCTGTCTGTCAGACTATTTGCAGGCTGAGCACTGCATGTGGCTAGTCTAGTAATGTTGGCAAAGATGGTGAAGGGCTTCACTTGGGCAATTGGATAGAAGGAATGGATGATTTGATGGTATTTCAGGAGTAAATTAGAGGGCCAGGGATTTAGCTCAGTGGTGCCACCACCTGCCTCACAAGAGGAAGGTCTCGAGTTTGATCCCAGTACAAAAAAAAAAGGAAAATTAGAGGTTTATAGATTGGTGATTTACATGGGACAAAGGGGAGAGAGGATCTCAAGATGTGGCCATGCAGGTGGATGTTAGGGCTGCTGACTGGGTCCAACCAGATCATCAGAACCACTCTGTGTATTCGACAGGATCTCTCATACTGTTTTCTCACCTGTAAAATGGATGCAATGTTGCCTTTTCCTGGGGTTGCTATAAAAGGATTAATGGCCTCCTTATCTGGCATTAAACATGAGTTCAATGGTGGCAAAACGCTGTTGGCTTTACTAAAAGATAAGCTACAGCCGGGGATTTAGCTCAGTGGTACCACCACCTGCCTTGCAAGTTTGATCCCCGGTACCAAAAGAAAAAGTACCAAAAGATATGCTACAGATCTTTTTTTCCCAGATAAGGAAATCTAGACCTGGATAAATTAAGTATACAAAACAACCATTTGGTTGCTAATTACTGCAGAGTTGGATAAAATCTAGGTCTCCCCTTTCTCCTGCCAGTTGTCAGCCATCTTATACTTGCTATCAGGCCTGGAACAGTGAGAGTTGCTTCTGAATCACAGCACGGAGTAGACTCCAGTCGGAACACAGAAAGTGGTCCAGGGACAAAGAATAAACCTCAAGCTAAACCTTTTTTTTCTTTTTATTGAGTTTATTGGTACATTCTAGGTATACAGTACAGTTACATTCATTATTGGGATCTTGTACCTCTACATGACTGGTCTTGGTTCTCATTTTTTCCCCTTGTCCCTGCCCTCCCTTCACCCCCTCCTCCCCTCCCCATTTACAAACACTTTATTTCCATTTTTTCATTTTCTCATATTTTTTTCTTTTCCAAGCTAAATCTCTTAATGGAGGTTCTTGTAGACAGGGCATCGTCTTAATGTCAGGCTAACATGGTCTTGTTTTTGTCTGCTTTTTCAAGCAACACTAGCACCCGAAGGCTGGGGATTTAGCTCAGGGGTGCTGCACCTGCCTGGCAAGTGCAAGGTGCTGAATTCAGTCCCGGGTACTGGAAAACACAAAACAAAACACTAGCTTCCAATAGAAGATACAAGTGAGTCTTGTCCCACTTACCTCTCCGTTCCTTGTCCATCCTCACCCCTGGTTTTCAGAACTGTGGAGAGGGGAAGGAATTACCTTTAGGTTGTTTACTTGTTGAAGGTATCCGATGGCCACCATCCTGATCAGAGACCCCTCTAAACTGCCCCCTCCCAGCACACCTGCACCTAGGGACTCAAAACATCATCAGCTTACTACGGATAGCAGCACTTATCTTGTCAAATAAGACAGAAGCTAGGACAGTGCGGAAGTTCTATCTTTTGCGAGCAAAAAGTTTATTCTCCTCCTGTGCTTCTCTGGGAATTCCTGAAGTCACGCCAGGAAACACCGTCCATCTTTACTGAGGAATGGGGCCATAAAGAAGTCTACCTAGCTGCTTTGAGTCAAGGGAATTTTTTAAAATATCTCAAAGCAATGTTTGCAAATATTCAACCTCTCAACTAAGACTTCCACGTAGAATCGCATAGGATGAAGCTTTTGGAAGGGGCAAGCGGAGCCAGACAGATGCACGGGATTTTAAAGGTCGAAAGCCTATGCTGTAAGCTTCTGATCCTTTCCTCCTGAGACCCAACTTCCCGGACACCCCAGGGCTGGGCGGAAGTTGTTTCCCCCACGAGCGACACACATCCCGGAGATGCGCCACGCGCCTCTGCGCGGCCGGGGGGGTGGGTGACAGGAGACCCCCCGCTCGTCCCCACGCCGTGACTGGGCCGGCGCACCCCCACGGGAGGGAAAGCGGAGCCGTTCTGGCTCCCAAGCACGCCGCTACCCCGGAAGTGGCGTTGCCTCCAGCGCTCTGCCCAGTCACTGTGGACCTCGGACCAGGGGGCGGTGCCTCCTTTGGCTGCGCGCTACGTCAACGCGTAGGCCACCGAGACCCCCGACTCGGAGGTGACGTATGAGAGCGTAAAGCGGGATGGGCGGATCCAGAGAACTAGCCGAAGCTAGCTCCGCCTCTTAAAGCCGTCTGGTCCTCCCGGTGTGGGCGCAGTGCCGCCACAGGGCGCGGCTCCTTTAAGCGTCTCCGTGACACGTGTGTGAGGCGCTGGAGGCCCGGATGGTGCGCGTGAGGGCTCTGGCAGAGGAGACGCCAGAGCTGCGCCGGCCTGCCGTGGGCTGTTCCAGGACTGTCGAGGGTGGGCTGTGGCCGGGTAGGGTGACGCCGGGGCCTCCGCCGGAACTGCGGTACTCGGGGAACAACCGGTAGCGCGTCCTTGGGACTCTGAGGGAACCCCAGGGAAGGCGACGGGATGCGCCATCTTCCAGGGACTCGGGTGCGGGGTCCCGGCTAGAGTCCGCGGCCGCTCCGTCTACGCAGCAGTCCTGGGAGTCTCCGGGCAGGGCTGGGCAGCGCTGGGCGGCCCACGGCCGCGCCATCTGCACGGGATGCCGCCGGGTGCCCAGGGCCCGGCGATGGGGCTGACTTGGGGAGATCCGGGGACGCGCTGTCCAGGCCGCAGTCGGAGGTGTTTCCGATGAGGAGCCTGGGCCGTGCGGTCCTCGCGGGGATTTGGGGTGACCCAGGGGATGCCGCGGACTCCGACGGGGAGGAATGGCAGAGCAGATCCTGCCTTAGGCCGGAAAGCAGGGCAGGGTAGGAGGCAGCAGCCTGTGTCCGCGTTGGGCAGCCCTCTGCCCACTAGAGCATCTCAACGCAGGGTCCGGATTTACTTTGCAATGGCCTAAGTCAGAGTCACGGAGAGCGCGTTGTTTCCTAGCGGGGACGCGTCGCGTTTCCCCGAGGTCCGGGGAAGGGAACCTTCTGCGTGGTCACCGTTGCTGAAAGCCGTGCAGAGTGCCGGCCGGACCTATGAATGTTAAGATGCCGGTTGCTTTTGTTGGGTTGTGTGGCTTGGCCCCGGGGCCCCGGCTGCTAGAGTGGCATCCTAGGCCTGGAGAGGGGAAAATGCCCAGCGCTCACCCAGCCCGGTTTCTGCGGTGGATCCCAAGAGGCAGGCTCCAAGGAGACATTTGTTCTGTCCCCGCGCCGCTCAGGATGCCCTGCTCTGTGGAGCCCTGGAGGGCACCTCTGAGGGGCCCCGAGGAGGTCTCAGCCCCTTCTGTCACGGGCTCCCCATTTCCAACACGTGCTGACTCTGTGCCAGTTTAACTCGGAAAAGTGAATTTGGGGGTTTGGAGGGTTAAGTCGTTTCCGGTTTAAGGAAGCTGTGCTTGAATACTTTCAGATATAAACATACGTTGTTAAGTATAAGCCGTGCTGGGTCGTTAAGAGAAATCAGGACTGGATAAAGCATCCTTCCCGAGCCGAGCGTTTGTGGTTCTAAGTGTGCAAATCAGAGGGTCTGCTGGTGATTACAAGAACGTTTTCTTGGTTTTTGTGTCTCAGAGAAAGAATCATTTTGAAGCCATCCCTTAATATTTCGGGTGGAGTTGGTAAAGTACAGATTGACCTTTCTGTCACAACTGGAAAGATCATGTATGTTCGAGAGGTTTAAGTTACCTACTGCAAATGAAACCGGCTTAAATCTGTTGTTTATCCTATTGGGAAGTGGCTCCTGCAGGTGAACTGTTGGAGGACCCTGTTGGTGGTTCTCACCTGTCCCGGGTGAAGTGTGAGTCCTGACCAAAAGGGCCATTGACCTTATGGGAAGGTCTCTAGACAACTGGAGGTGCGTCCTTTATCTTGAGGTCGTTCCATTATACTTTGAGGGAGCGTGCTGATAATCCTGTTTGTTGGTAATGTGGAAGGCTTGCCCCTTGCTGCAAGTGGACTGAGGAAGTGGACCAGGCAGTGTCAAAGCTGAGCGGTGGGGTCATTGTGCACACACTGTGCTGTCCTCTGCATTTGTGTGTGTGTAGACGTTTTTGCTGTAAAAGTTTCTAAGTACAGTACCTTTGTTTTATGTAACCACAGTGATTATAGGTGGAACTCAGTACGTTACAGCAGAGTAAAAATTTGACAGTTTTTATTATTCTATTATTTTGTTTGAAATTTTACTGTTTTTACAAAATCCAAAAGTTTGAGGTTATTGTCTGTTGTTATTATCTCTCTTTGGAAGAGAGATTTAGGCTGCAGTTGTCTTTGGAGTTTTGTTCCCTGGACTTGTTATTAGTGTTAGGGTCAAGAGGTATAGCAGAGAACAATATTCTCGTGTCACATACATTGCACGAATTTGTGTCTTGTCATCACAGTTCTTTCTACTTGTGCTGAACTCTGTGCTGGAGATACCCCTTTACCCTTAGTGGTGACTTGTTCCTCATAGAAGGTCACAGTTCTGTACCACACCTGTGGGATGAGACTTCAGGAACAGCTGCAACAGTCAGCCTGGTGATGGTCTGATTGCTCCTCCCACAGGTGCCGCCACCCATTCTGGACACTGCTCTTAGGCTTTGGTGATTGAACAGGCCAGAGTCCAGGAGCAGGTGAATTCCAGGGCCCAGAGGAGCTCCTCCCCTTAAGAACCTGATTCCTTGCTTCAGGGGGAAGCAGCAGGCCACGTTTGCATGCCCCAGGTAAGCCTGTGGTCTTTTCTCCTCTGAGTTGCCTGCACATGACCTGCAGTGATTGTTCTATTGCTGGGCTGTCTCAGCTGATCTCCCTGGAAAAAGTGTGTGCATGTGCATGTGCGTTGAGGTGCTGGGGTTGAACTCAGGGCCTTGCACCTGCTGGGCAAGCATTCTGCCTCCTGCTGAGCTACATCCTCAGCCCTTTTCATTTTATTTTGAGACAGTCTTAGTTGCTCAGGCTGGCCTCAAAGTTGCCCTCTTCCTACCTCAGCCCGCTGAGTAGCTGGGATTACAGGCACAGATGCCTGGCTGGGAAAAGGGTTTTTGATCTCCTCACATCAGAAAACTCGTGCTTACTTTATTAAAAAATGAATTTCTTCTATTTTTATCCCTAGGGAACTTTTTGTAGAAAAAGATAATTTAATCCATATATGGAATTAGATGATCCATATGATAAACTTGAATGATTTAGTAAACTGGTGGAAGAGATTCTGCAATAGAGTTTTGGGATGCATCTGACTAGCTGATTGTCCAGGCAGGTTGGGTGCTGGTTACCAGAGGGAGTCATTGTTTTTTTGATATGAGTAATTTCATATTTTCTAATTATGACTCACACAGTGTAAGCTTTGGCCAAAGTGGTTAAGGTGGTGAAATGGTGGATACAGGTGTAGTAGTCAGAGGGGAGACTCCTCTTTGTTACAGTTTCTATGTAGCTGTGCTGGAGGTGTGAGTTCTCTATGAGGGACTAATGTACAGTAAGGTGACTAATCCCATCTCCTGCCTTTCAGCTAGCTGGGTTTTATTTGTTTGGTTTTTTTGTTTTGTTTTGAGATGGGGTCTTGTTATGTAGTTTAGACTGGCCTTGAATTCACTGTGTATCCCAGGGTGGCCTTGAACTTGTGACAGTCCTGCCTCAGCCTCCCAAGTACTGAGGTTACAGTAAGTGTGCGCCACCACACTTGGCTCACCCCTCACTTTTAGAAAAAGATTTTGTGTATATACTGTTTGATAGAAATATAATGCAAGCCATGGCTATAATTTAAATTTTTATAGCATCCACATTAGGAAAATAAAAAGCAATTGTGAAATCCATGTTTTTTTCCCTAGGGTTGATACCCAAGGCCTCATATGCTAGGTGATGCTCTACTCCTGAGCTACCCCCTCCATTGATATATTTAACCCAAATATAAAAAACACTATAATTTTAACATATAACCAATTGAAAGATTAAGATGTTTCACATTCTTAACACCAGGTCTTTGAAATCTGGTGGTGTATTTCACCAAAAGTGAGGGGGTTTTTTGTTTTGTTTTTTACCAGGGATCGAACTCATGACCTTGCGCTTAAGAGGCAGGCAGGGTACCACTGAGCTAAATTCCCAGCCCTACCAAAAGGTTTTTGAGACAGAGTGTCTCTATGCAGTTAAGGCTGGCCTTGAACTTAAATCCTAGGCTGGTCTAGACATCATGGTGATGCTCTTGCCTCATCCTCCCAAGTGCTGGGATTACAGGTGTGTACCACCGTGCCTGACTTGTGTTTTACTTTTATGGAACATTTCTGTTGAGGCTAGCTTCTTTTTTTGTGCTCAGTAGCTATGTGTGTGGCATGTGGCCGCCATTTGAATAGCACGGGCCTGTGCAGATGTGCTTGCCTATATGATCTGCCTGCTGATTCCATCACTACGTGGCTGTGTAGGTGTGGGAGTAACCAGAGTGTGGAGGAGGATTCGCAGTTCCCTGTATCTGAGCAGACATCGGGACCCAGTGGTGACCTGATGAAGGAAGAGCACTGAGTGTGGCACGCAGTCCCTCGAAGCGTATTTACTGCAGAGACACTCGTTGGAGGGGTGGTGGGAGGCCTGGTACTGTCACTGTGCAGTTGGCTCTATGTGCATGGCCCGTTGTTTTTCCAAGAGAGGAAGCATGAACTCTATAGGCCTGCGGCCTCCCTATCTCACACTTCTCTCTGTGGACTCAGGTGAGCCAGGGAAGTTTTCATGGTGGCTGGCATCATGGTCACCAGACAAGGGATCTTCTCATTCCTTGGACTTCGTTGTTTATAGGTCTGTGTTCCTTCTTGTCCCCACAGGCATGCACAATGCCGATAGTTGATAAGTTGAAGGAGGCCCTGAAGCCTGGCCGCAAGGACTCAGCTGAGGATGGGGAGCTGGGGAAGCTCCTGGCTGCTTCGGCGAAGAAGGTCCTCCTACAGAAGATTGAGTTCGAGCCGGCCAGCAAGAGCTTCTCCTACCAGCTGGAGTCCTTGAAGAGCAAATATGTGCTGCTGAACCCTAAGACCGAGGGGGCCAGTCGCCCTAAGAGTGGAGATGAGCCACAGGCCAAGAGACAGGGTACAGGTGTGTAGGGTGCTGGCAGGGACCTTGTGTGTGTTCATTGGGTGGATGGATCCAGAGACAGCAGCAGGATGCAGTTAGGGAGTTCCAGCTTTTACACAGCGTCAGCGGGGTTTAAGTCGCAGAGATTCCTTGACACACACACTCCGTGCCATCATTGGAGGTTTAGAAATAGAAAGCCAGGTGTGGTGGTGCATGTCTGTAATCCCAGTGCTTGGGAGGCTGAGCCAGGGGGATTGCTGCGAGTCTGAGGCTAGCCTGGGCTACATAGTGAATTGAAGGCCAGCCTGGACTACACAGCAAGACCTTGTCTCAAAAAAATAAAGAAAGAAATGGGTTGGGGTGGGATGGGCTGCATAGGGGTGCAGTACACTGCAGCGGCAGGGCCAGTTCTTTCCTCTTTCCCAGAGGACCCTTGAATTCTAGACCTGAGCAGTCTGGAATGTCTTGGCATGGCACCGTTCATGCTTGGGTTTCCTAGGGGCCTTCAGTCAGTGGGAACACATTGACCCTCCTGTGGGTGCTGTGTTCAAGTAATTGTGCACTCAGCAAATGTGGCCAGATGTCTTTGGGAGCTGCCTGTGCATGGACTGACCTGCCCCTTTCCTCCTGTCTCCTTGTCTCTAGGTAGTGAGCGCTTACCTGGGAGTAGCAGTGATGGTGTCCCAGCACCGCAGAAAGTGCTTTTCCCCACAGAGAGGCTGTCTTTGAGGTGGGAACGCATTTTCCGAGTTGGCGCAGGACTGCACAACCTGGGCAACACCTGTTTCTTGAATGCCACAGTACAGTGCCTGACCTACACACCGCCTCTGGCCAACTACCTGCTCTCCCGGGAGCACGCAAGGAGCTGTGAGTCGGCAGGGGTGGGGTGGGGGATGGGGAGCAGTGGGCAGTGCGATTCGGCAGAAGGAGCGAGAAACCTCTTCTCTGGGCATGACTGGTCCTGTCTGATCGTGGGAATATGGGGTGAACTTGGTGACACGTGGTAACTGGTGAAACCCAGTTTCAAAAGGTACCCATGTGGGATGGGTCCCTCGTCTTCAAACTTTTCTAAAAGAATTTACCCAGACAGAAGTCAGGGTTTTAAAAAGTTGTGCCCAATATGTATAGCCAGAGTTTTTCTGAAATTAAAAAAAAATTTTTTAAATTTTTATTTAGTGTGTGTGTGTGTGTGTGTGTGTATGTTTACATTCCTAATGTGGAGTTCTTGTGTGTGCATATAAATCCTAATTCCTTTTCCCCTTTCTTCCCTTTCCTTCTGTCTCCCTATATCTCTTGATCTCCTTCCCATTTGAGAATGATCTATCTCCTTGCTATCTTTTATTTTGCTCTTTATTTATAATTTGTGTTTCTCATCAGAGAAACCATGAGATAGTTGCTTATATTTCACTTAACACAATGGTCTCAAGGTGCATCCATTTTCTTCTAAATGACTCGAGGTTTCCTTTATAGCAGAATAGTACTCCATTCACCTTTTCTTTATCCTTTCCTCTGTTGGATGGACCTAAGCGCTGCTTCCAAAATTTAGCTGTTATGAGTTGTGCTGCTCTCAACATGAGTATGCTTGTTTCTCTGTGATATGATGACTTTAACTTTGGGGAAGATACCTAGAAGGGGAATACCTGGGTCAGATGGAATTTCTAGTTTTAGGCTTTTGGGGGGTTTTTTTGTTTGTTTGTTTTTCTGTAGTAGGGATCAAACTTGGGTCCTTGAGCTTAGGTAGGCAGTGGCACCACTGAGCTAAATCCCCAGCCCTAATTACAGGTTTTTGAGAAATTTCTATACTCATTTCTCTAGTGATTGTACTGGTTTGGATTCCTCCCAACAGTGGAGAGAAGGGTTCTTTTCCCCACAGCCTCTCTAGCATTTGTTTTTATTCGGTTTCTTGATAATAGCCATTCTTTCTGGAATAAGATAGAAACCAGTTATTTTATATATCTATTGTACTGATATGTTTTGTGTATATTATGAAACATACTCCTAAGTAGAAATTAAAATGGATGAAATAAATTACAACATCAAAAGCTGAAGAGGGGGGCCGGGGATTTAGCTCAGTGGTTCATTGGCCTGCCTTGCAAGCACGAGGACCCGAGTTCAGTCCCCGGTACCAAAAAAAAAAGCTGAAGGGAGCTGGGCATGGTTGCGCACACCTGTAATCCCAGCACTTGGGAGGCTGAGGCAGGAGGATCGTTGTGAGTTCGAGACCAGCCTGGGCTACATGGTGAGTTCCAGGTCAGTCTCAACTACATAGTGAGACCCTGTCTCAACACCCCGCAAAAAAAACCTGAAGGGAGTTCCTAAAGAAAGTAAAACAGGGATTAAAAAATCTCCCCAAAGAAGATAACACCAGGCCAGGATGATTTTATAGGTGAGTTCTGTGAAAATTAACATGTCCTGCCAGTTCTTCACCAACTCTTCTAGTAATAGAGAAGAAGAGAATATTCTCTAACTTGTTCTATGAGGGTCTTACAACTTGGATAACAAAGGTAAACAAAAAACTATTAAACAGAAAATGTATGATGTCATCATGAAGGAGCTATAAAAATTCTGGATAGGGCTGGAGGTGTGGCTCAGTGGAGGGCTTGCCTAACTTGCACAAGGTCATGGATCCCAACCCCAGTACTGGGGGAAAATGATCTAGGCAAATAGTGCCAGGTGGGATAGTTTTTAAAACAGTAGGAGCACTTTCTGTTCCTCCTAGGAGTGTAAGGGTGTCTCTCTGTGGGAAAGTCTGTGGCACGGTTGTGTGAGCATCGCTGCACATGGCAGCCCTGGAGCTGACCTGTGTCCGCACCCCAGTCCCCTGGCCTCTCTGTGCCTCCTGATCCTGGTCTACAGAGAAATAAAACTTCCTCAGACTTGTGAGGCGCAAGTGGATTCGGTAAAGTACTTGGAATAGTACTAGGCACAAAGAAACTGTTACCTATGTAAGTGCTGATTTTGCTACCTTTGTGACTAATTACTGTATCAAGCGACTTTAGTTTGGTTTGTTTGTTTGTTTGTTTGGTACCTGGGATAGAACTCTGGTCCTTGCACTGGGGGCACCAGTGAGCTAAATCCTCTGCTCTCAGGCAACTTTAAATGAGAGAGTTTACCTGAAAGTAGATGCCTCTGTCTTCAATAATTCATAATATGTATTTTTTAAAAATGAAACTCTCAGACTCTCAGCAGAGTAGAGTAAAAGAACATTTCTTTAATCTGACAAAGAATTTCTGCTTAAAAAAAAAATCAGGCCATCATGCTAAGAAAGCATTGGAGGAGAACGCTCAATGATGGGGAAGCATGGTGATCCTCATGTCTCGTTTAAGATTGCATTGGTCCCAGCACAGATGTGGCTTCTGGAAGAGGAGGGGAGTAACACTATTGTAATTGGAAACAATATTCCTGCTTAGAAAACCGAAAGAATGTATAGGCAAAGTGGAAATTCAGCAAGGGGAATTTGGCAGCATGGCTAGGTGTAACATCAGCATAGTTGAATTTTCTATCTCGAACAATAAGCAATTTGCTATATACATAAACAATGAAGTCTAGACCTAAATTTAGCCAGATGTATGCAGAAAACCTTATTGAAAGACATTAAATGAGAGAAAATGCTGCCTTCACAAAGGGAAGACTCACTATTGTAAAGATGTTGGTTCTCAAATTAAGGTGTAGACTAATATACATTCATTTGGTTCTAAAATTTATGCAGAGGCTGGAGATTTAGCTCAGTGGTTCCACTGCCTGTCTTGAAAGCACAAAGTCCCAAGTTCAATCCCCGTACCCCCCAAAAAAATTTTTTTTAAACATAAAATTTATGCAAAAATCACCAAGACACTTTCTTCCCAAACTCTCCTGTGCTGATCATGAAACCCAGGGCCTTGGGCCTTTCATGTGCTAGGCCAGGCCTCTACCACTGAGCTGCAAGACCCCACTCCCAGCCCTCTTAAGGCATTTATAAAAATGACTGTGAGAAGGGTTACATTCTACAGACTAGAGAGACCTAAATGATAATGTACCAAATTAAAATGTTACAGTAGCCAGGCATGGTGGCACATTCCTGTAATCCCAGCACTCAGGAGGCTGAGGCAGGAGGATCACTGTGAATTGGAGACCAGTCTGGGCTACACAGTAGTTCAGAACAGCCTGAATTACACAATGAGACCCTCTCTCAAAAAAGCAAAATAAATAAATAAATAAAATGTTACAGTATTAGATCCAAGAGAGATGTTCTAACCAATGGAATAGACCTAGGAGCCCAGAAAAAGAACCACATATATGTGCAAGTGTAGTAGTACTTACCAGTTTGTTTTTTTGGTCCTGTCCATGCTGCCACTCACCCCCACCTGCCCCATACTGGGGATTGAACTTGGGACTTTGCGCTTACAAGGCAGGCATGGCACCACGGAGCTAAATTCCCAGCCCACGTACCAGTTTTTTGCATGTACATGGATCCCATCATTTTAAAACATGGAACTAAAATTAAAACTTGGTTTAACATATAGAAGATACTGACCCAGGGTCCTTATTTCACATTATTTATGAAGAAATGGATGAAGAACAGAATCAAAAGTGTAACGATGCATTTATAATAAATGTAGGTGAATACTGTTCTAATTTTGAGATGGGAGCTTTCTTAAATGACTTAAAAGTGGAGTCTGGTAAATTTAGCTGTATTGAATAAAGAACTTGTTCATAAAAAACAGTTTAAAGAAAATGTAAACACCACCTACAAGCTGGGAGAGAAAACCTGGGCCATGTAATCAGCAAAGCATTTTATATAAAGTATGTAAAGAACGGTAAATCAACAAGGAGAAGGCAACTTGTTAAAAAATAGATAAAATTAGAAACAGGCATTTTGCAGAAGAGGAAATTCAAGGTCAGAGAAGCCCATGAAGCAGTGCTCAGCCTTAGTCTTCAGGGAAAGGCCATGCAAACCTCAGTGGGATACTGTTCTGCCCCTTGGTGAATCATAGCTCAGAATGTGTGACAGTACAAATGTCAGAGAGGGTAGAGCTCTGAGAGTCTTTTCATACTCCAGGCCTGAGCTGGTGTAACTGCGTCAGGAAATCTGTCCCCCAGCGGTTCTACAGATAAGGTCCGCTGTGTGTATTAAAATGCCCGCAGCAAAAACCTCCCCAGCAGTCAGCAGCCTGAGTCCGTCAGAGAATGGCTGTGGGAATGACCGGGGGTCCCACCGAGGAATGGGTGCAGCTGGGGCTGCAGCATCTGAACAGCTCTTAATAACTGTCCAGTGAAGGTAGCAGAAGTGGTGGGTGGGCTGAGCATGTGTTAGGAACAGCGATGCAGACTGCTCTGTTCATTCAGTGAAATATTACAGCTCTACACTCGGAAGGATTGCAGCTACGTCCATGTAGATTTTAAGGGAGCAAGTGGTTTGTGGAAATCATTGTGGAGATACCGCAAAAAACTAGGATTAGAGGTCCCATTTGACCCAGCTGTTCCCCTGCTGGGTATCTTACCCCCAAAATTAAAAGCATCCTACCACAGCAATATATGCACACCCATGTTTATAGCAGCACGGTTTATAATAGCTAAATATTGGAAACAGCCCCAAATATCCATCAACTGGAGATGGGATAAAGAAGATGTGGTTTATTTATAAAATGGAGTACTGCTCAGCCATAAAGAACAATAAACTAAAGGCATTTATAGCTAAATGGATGCATATTGACGCCATACTCCTAAGTGAAATGAATGACACACATGTGAATACCAAATAGTTTTAGAAGTATAAATGAGGACCAAAATGTATAATAGATAATGTGAAAAAT